AAATAAATACAGGTCAGCATCCTAATTTTTCAAGTCGATTGATTTCTTCATATATAATTTACTGGGACCAATGAAATGAGCTGTCACAAAACATCAAGTCAACTCAGAGTAAGCACGAGTGCAAAGTGAGGGATGAAGAGTTGGAAAAAATCCCATGGGCCTTTCTCCTTTTAAGCTGGATTCACTTCTGTGGCCGGGGCTAGTTTCTAGGCTTTCCTCTCTCTCTTTTAAATTTTTAAACCCACAATCAAATCCCTGGACAATCTATGCAAATAAGGGAAAGCTGATTCCCAACCCCGGGTCACTGTGAATCTATTACATTTTTCCGAGCATGTACAACAAAGGAAGTACCATAGAGAGTGAGGTCTGTTCCCACTAAGGGCTAACTGAGGTTTGAAGTCATACTAAGCTGGGTTTGCAGTCTCTACCAACCACCAGTGTGTGACCTTGAACTGCTACCTTTGTCTTTCTGAGCCTCAGGGTTCTGTGTCTCCCCCCTCCTCTGAGTCTGTCACTGGGGAGGGATCAGCTCTCTCCCCTGCTTCTCATGGTGAGCGATGAGGTAGCATGGAATTCATGCTTGGAGCACCTCTTGCCCATCTCTCTCTAGCGTTTCTCTCTGGGGAGGAGTAGCAGCTGGTCCAACTGGTCAGAGCATGAACTTCCTCAGGCCACATTATCGGGGGTAGGGAAATGCTCATTTCATCCCTGCCTCAAGGGTCCAGAAGGAGAGCTGAGGCTTCTCCTCTGCTTCCCACCTCTGTGAGGAGAGCACAGCAGATTCAAACCCAGGATCCTCAGGTCGGCCCATCCTGTTCCCTGCCCATGCTCTGTCTGCCAGAAACTGGGCGGGTGCAGTAGCCCCTGGGACTTTATGTAAAGGATCTCAGGAAGCAACACACACAGGCCCGCACATATGCAAGACTGGAAACTGATATTTTACTTTCCTCTTTATATGGCATTCATTTCTATATAAGAATATATTATCTTTGTAACCCCAAAACACAAAAACTACCTTCATTTGACTAAAAATATGAAGAGAGGTTTGGCATTCAAAAACCTTACTTGAGAAGAATTCATTCAAATGGAGTAGGAATGGTGAGAATGGTTAGAGTGAAAGTTCTTCATGATATGGCTAAATAATGTTTTATAAGAACAAACCCCCCAACAATCAACTTAATAAATAGAAGAGAGATACAATGAGAAATTATCAAGATAAAAATAAAAAGACATTTTACTAACAAATGAAACAGGGAAGAAAAGTAGGAGGATTATAAAATTCAAAAAGTAAAGATGTTGGGTAGGAATTTAACTTTGGGTATTCTTAATGGACAATGTGTAATATTTTCTGTAATAGATTTGGAAATGTGTTGTTTCACAATGAATGAATTTTTTTATACATAACTAATAAACTCTAGGTATATTACACATTTTACATACAGATTAAAGGATTTTAATCTTTTGTAAAAGTATATACAAATTAAAAAAGAAATTCAAGACTCTTCCTCCATTCCCTTAGCAAATGACTCGGACCCCTCCCTACTTCCTAGAGAACATGGAGTCTACGAGGCACAAATTCCCTCCCATCTATGTTCACAGCCACCTTCTCGCTCCTCCTGCGGCCAAGCCCCACGGAGGCCCTGGATCCCACACTCCCGCCATCTTGGGAAAATAGACACATCCCAGTCTCCTCTGTGCGAAAAACTCACCTTCCACCCTGCATCTCCTTCTAGGGCTCACTCTGTGCTTTTTGCACAACCAAGCTTCTTGGAAAGCTTGTCAATATCTCGTGATCCCATTTCCACATCTCCTACTTGCTGCTGAAACTTCTGCCCCTGGGCGTTTGTGGCTACCCCTGCCCTGAACTGCACAGGACAAGGCCGCTGGTGACCTCCTGACTGCCGAATAACTGATACTTTGATACTTCGCAGTGTATCTTACTGGGCCTTTCTGAGGCTCGAAACATCATTGGTCCTTCCTTCTTTTTGAAGCTCTCTCTGTCCTCAGCTTCCCCATTCCACCATCCCTGGCCATGATCACGCCTTTCACATTCTTTTCCCATTTTCTCTGTAGGCTCCTCTGCCTGCACCCCTGGTCATTTGCTTTCCTTCTTCTTCATTAGTTTTCTCATTTTCTTGAGCTGATGTCTTCAACACCCATAACTTTGATTATTACTTCCATGCTGATGACACTCAAATCTGTAATACTCTCCTGGACTCCAGACCTGATACTCAGTTGAATAGCTTCATCTGATGTCCCAGAGGAGCCTTCAAATACAACATGTTAAAAACTGAACTCTGTCAACCTCAACATACCTTCTCTTCTTCATACATTCTTGAATTCACTTAGCCACACAAGCAATATACCTTGGAGTCATCCTAAATCAGTTCTTCTCACTCAGAGCTGCACGTAAGAATCACCTAGGGGCAAGGCTGAAAAACACTGTTCTAGATCAGTGACATGCAAATAAATCACTTGGTAAAACGCTGAGTCTGGCCAGCAGATCTGGAGTGGAGCCAGACATTCTGCATTTCATTTCTAACGAGCTTCTAGGGATGTGGAGACTGTTGGACCTCAGGCAGTACTTTGAGAAACAAGAGCCAGCAATGTCAGAGTCCCCTGGGAATGTGTTACTAACACAAATTCACAGATCCAGTTCTGGACCTACTGAATCATAAATTTTGTGTGTTGGGCCTGGCAAGGAAATCTATGTTTTAGCAAGTCCTACAGATGATTCTGAAACATGCTCAGGCTTGAGAACCACTGTTCTGGATGATCTTCTTGTACACCTGCAGAACTAGGCTGTGTCGGTTCCATGTGCTTACTCTTTGCATATCTATCCCTTCCTTTCTGTCTTCAATGCTCAGAACCTTAATCTCTTCTGTCTAAAAAATTATAATTGTCTTCTATCCAGATAAAGTCTCTCTTTGCTCACTCTGTCATTTGTGTGCACTGGATCCCATTCCTTCTTTCCCACGGGTGGGACTTTTCGCTTTGAATTGTCCTCCATCCTCCTGCATTACCTGCTTTCTCTCTCTTTTTTTTTTTTTTTGAGACAGAGTCTCACTGTGTTTCCCGGGCTAGAGTGCCATGGCATCATCCTAGCTCACAGCAACCTCAAACTCCTGGGCTCAAGCAATCCTCCTGCCTCAGCCTCCCGAGTAGCTGGGACTACAGGCATGCGCCACCATGCCCGGCTAATTTTTTTTTTCTATGTATTTTTAGTTGTCCAATTAATTTCTTTCTATTTTTGGTAGAGACGGGGTCTCACTCTTGCTCAGGGTGGTTTCGAACTCCTGAGCTCAAACAATCCGCCCACCTCGGCCTCCCAGAGAGCTAGGATTACAGGCGTGAGCCACCGCGCCCGGCCTGCTTTTTCTCTCTTTACTGCATCATTCTCGTTAGCAAACAAACATACTCTAATATCTTCCATCCTAAGGAGGAAAAAAAGAAAGACCCTCTCTTGCCCCTGCATTTCCTTTCAGACAGCAGTTATTTTCCAGGTATTATCCCACTTCTTTGCTCCCCTTTTTAACAATTTCTCAAAAAAGAAAAAATTGGCTACACTCATTTTCTCAGCAACCTTACCTTCCTTTATTTTCTAAGTCTACTCCAGCCAGATTCTCATCAAAATTGCTCCAAAATTGCTTTGTTAAGGTCACCATGACCTCCATATTGCTACATCCCATGGTCAATCTCAGTTCTCACCTTGCTGAACCTCCCACAGTATGTGACCCAGCTAATTGCTCCCTCCTGCTTATAACTCCCTACATGATCACATCAAGTCCCTTGGCTTTAAGTATCATAGGCTGATGACTACTAAAAAGATATCTCCATCTACAGTCTCTTTTTGAAATCCACATCAATATGCACAACTACCTACACAACATCTCTTGGGTGTCTGATGAGCATCTTGAGCAAATGTCTTCATTCCACGCTCTCTCACCTAAACCTGTTCCTCCCAGTGTTCACCATTCAGTCATCCCACAAATCATTACTGAACGCCAATTCTGTGCCAGGCAAGTTTTCAGGCACAAGGGATGACTGGTACCTAATACACAATTACTGCTCTCATGGAGCTTACATTCTAGGATGTAAGCAATACATGATCAATATAATAAATAAGGAAATTACATAGTATGTTAGAAGCTTATAGGTGATGTGCTATGCAAAAGAAAAGAGTAGAGAGAAAAGCATCAAGAGTACTAGGGTAGTTCACGTCAGTTATGATGTAAAATAGGATGATTATGGGAGGCATAATTGAGAAGGGGACACCTGAAAAGCAGGATGCCATTTGAACATCATCTCATTAAATGGCACCACCCATTTACCTAGTTTTCCAATGCAAAATCCTTTCTCTACTCTCTGTTTCACACCTTCTTTTCACATACCCCACCTATAAGCAAATCTTATTGGCTCTACCTTCAAAATCTACCCCAAATTCAAGCACACCTCTCTTCCTGCAATTCTCTCACTCTGGTCCAAGTCACCATCATTTCTTACCTAGATGAATGAACCTTCCTTAAGACTAGCTTTCTTTAATGTCTCCACACTTCCAGTTTATAATCCAACCAGCAGCCAGAGGGATTTTTTAGACTTTGTTACTACCCAACCGTGAAGTGTCCAATGGCTTTCTATTTTAACTATAACAAAACCTGTGGCAAATGAGTTTTATTTAGCTGATGTCCAAAGAGTCACACTTTCCTTAGTGTGGAGCTGATGTTGGCAAGTGGCTGCCCAGCTGGGGGTTACATTTCTTGGTCATTCCTAGATAGAGGAGGACC